GACTCAAGACTTGGTTACAAGTCCTGCTGGGAGGTAATGAACTCAATAGTTAAAGAGTGTCATATCTGTGGAACAGAAGCAGAGTCGCCACTATTGCACTACTTACTGGAATGTGAAGCTACTGAGGCCCTGCGCATCAAACTATACATTAATCCAACGACAGCAAATGCACATTTCACAGCGACTACAATGATTGAAAAAAAGTTAAAGAATGGGACTCACTAGTGAAAATTCTGTACCAACATCCGGCACCAAGGTAATGTTATTAAAATAAGACTAAAACAGAAGCGAAAAAGAAACAGGGAAAAAGGAGGAAACCCCACTTCCATTCAATACTTTGACCCAAATATCGGAGTAACAAGGTTATCGCGAATAACCGTACTCAATTACGGGCTCACCATAGCCCGTGGTATATGGATATTTCGTTCTAAGTAAATAAATCTAAAACAACAACAAAAACAACTGAGAGAGTTAGCAGAGAAAGGTGGAAATGGTAGGGAAGACGGGAGACTAGGAGAGGGGGAAGAAGATAGTAGAGAGGGTGAGAAGATGATTAAGAAAAAGTTTGAAGAAAAAGGAGAAAGGGAAAGAGAGACGACAGGAGGGGGGATGGTGACAGGATAGAGTATAGAATAGGGGGGTTGGGAGATCAGGCATTGCCGGATCTCCAATGTCAGTCTTTATTTGCTTGTGGAGGAAGGTTGGGAATCAGACGCCCTGGGCTAGTCTCACCTAACTGTGGAAGGTGACTGGCTATGTTACGCTGTCTCACAGGGTGGTCGGGGTTACTTACTGTGTTGTAGACAGGTGTGGAAAATTGTTACAGTGATCAATATGGACAGAAAACAGTCAGTGTTCAGAGGACGGTGAACATTTTAGGAGAGCACCGTGTTCACCCTGTTATGCCACCGTGTTCACCCTGTTATGCCACCGTGTTCACCCTGTTATGCCACCGTGTTCACCCTGTTATGCCACCGTGTTCATCCTGTTATGCCACCGTGTTCACCCTGTTATGCCACCGTGTTCACCCTGTTATGCCACCGTGTTCACCCTGTTATGCCACCGTGTTCACCCTGTTATGCCACCGTGTTCACCCTGTTATGCCACCGTGTTCACCCTGTTATACCACCGTGTTCATCCTGTTATGCCACCGTGTTCACCCTGTTATACCACCGTGTTCATCCTGTTATGCCACCGTGTTCACCCTGTTATACCACCTTGTTCACACTGTTATACCACCGTGTTCATCCTGTTATGCCACCGTGTTCACCCTGTTATACCACCGTGTTCATCCTGTTATGCCACCGTGTTCACACTGTTATACCACCGTGTTCATCCTGTTATGCCACCGTGTTCACCCTGTTATACCACCGTGTTCATCCTGTTATGCCACCGTGTTCACCCTGTTATGCCACCGTGTTCATCCTGTTATACCACCGTGTTCATCCTGTTATGCCACCGTGTTCATCAAGTTATACCACCGTGTTCATCCTGTTATGCCACCGTGTTCACCCTGTTATGCCACCTTGTTCACCTTGTTATGACACCGTGTTCATCCTGTTATGCCACCGTGTTCACCCTGTTATGCCACCGTGTTCACCCTGTTATGCCACCGTGTTCATCCTGTTATACCACCGTGTTCATCCTGTTATGATACTGTGTTCATCCTGTTATACCACCGTGTTCATCCTGTTATGCCACCGTGTTCATCCTGTTATGCCACCGTGTTCACCCTGTTATACCACCGCGTTCATCCTGTTATGCCACCGTGTTCACCCAGTTATACCACCGTGTTCATCCTGTTTTGCCACCGTGTTCACCCTGTTATGCCACTGTGTTCACCCTGTTATGCCACCGTGTTCATCCTGTTATGCCACCGTGTTCATCCTGTTATGCCACCGTATTCATCCTGTTATACCACCGTGTTCATCCTGTTATGCCACCGTGTGCACCCTGTTATACCACCGTGTTCATCCTGTTATGCCACCGTGTTCACCTTGTTATACCACCGTGTTCACCCTGTTATGCCACCGTGTTCACCCTGTTATGTCACCGTGTTCACCCTGTTATGCCACCGTGTTCACCCTGTTATGCCACCGTGTTCACCCTGTTATGCCACCGTGTTCACCCTGTTATGCCACCGTGTTCACCCTGTTATGCCACCGTGTTCACCCTGTTATGCCACCGTGTTCACCCTGTTATGCCACCGTGTTCATCCTGTTATGCCACCGTGTTCACCCTGTTATGCCACCGTGTTCACCCTGTTATGCCACCGTGTTCATCCTGTTATGCCACCGTGTTCATCCTGTTATGCCACCGTGTTCATCCTGTTATACCACCGTGTTCATCCTGTTATGCCACCGTGTTCATCCTGTTATGCCACCGTGTTCACCCTGTTATACCACCGTGTTCATCCTGTTATGCCACCGTGTTCACCCTGTTATACCACCGTGTTCATCCTGTTATGCCACCGTGTTCACCCTGTTATGCCACCGTGTTCACCCTGTTATGCCACCGTGTTCACCCTGTTATGCCACCGTGTTCACCCTGTTATGCCACCGTGTTCACCCTGTTATGCCACCGTGTTCACCTTCTTATGCCACCGTGTTCATCCTGTTATGCCACCGTGTTCACCCTGTTATGCCACCGTGTTCACCCTGTTATGCCACCGTGTTCATCCTGTTATACCACCGTGTTCATCCTGTTATGATACTGTGTTCATCCTGTTATACCACCGTGTTCATCCTGTTATGCCACCGTGTTCACCCTGTTTTACCACCGTGTTCATCCTGTTATGCCACCGTGTTCACCCTGTTATACCACCGTGTTCATCCTGTTATGCCACCGTGTTCACCCTGTTATGCCACTGTGTTCACCCTGTTATGCCACCGTGTTCATCCTGTTATGCCACCGTGTTCATCCTGTTATGCCACCGTATTCATCCTGTTATACCACCGTGTTCATCCTGTTATGCCACCGTGTGCACCCTGTTATACCACCGTGTTCATCCTGTTATGCCACCGTGTTCACCCTGTTATACCACCGTGTTCACCCTGTTATGCCACCGTGTTCACCCTGTTATGTCACCCTGTTCACCCTGTTATGCCACCGTGTTCACCCTGTTATGCCACCGTGTTCACCCTGTTATGCCACCGTGTTCACCCTGTTATGTCACCGTGTTCACCCTGTTATGCCACCGTGTTCACCCTGTTATACCACCGTGTTCATCCTGTTATGCCACCCTGTTCACCCTGTTATGCCACCGTGTTCACCCTGTTATGCGACCGTGTTCATCCTGTTATGCCACCGTGTTCACCCTGTTATGTCACCGTGTTCATCCTGTTATGCCACCGTGTTCACCCTGTTATACCACCGTGTTCATCCTGTTATGCCACCGTGTTCACCCTGTTATACCACCGTGTTCACCCTGTTATGCCACCGTGTTCACCCTGTTATGTCACCGTGTTCACCCTGTTTGCCACCGTGTTCACCCTGTTATGCCACCGTGTTCATCCTGTTATGCCACCGTGTTCATCCTGTTATGCCACCGTGTTCATCCTGTTATGCCACCGTGTTCACCCTGTTATACCAACGTGTTCATCCTGTTATGCCACCGTGTTCACCCTGTTATGACACCGTGTTCACCCTGTTATGCCACCGTGTTCACCCTGTTATGCCACCGTGTTCAACCTGTTATGCCACCGTGTTCACCCTGTTATACCACCGTGTTCATCCTGTTATGCCACCGTGTTCACCCTGTTAGGCCACCGTGTTCACCCTGTTATGCCACCGTGTTCATCCTGTTATGCCACCGTGTTCATCCAGTTATGCCACCGTGTTCACCCTGTTATACCACCGTGTTCACCCTGTTATACCACCGTGTTCATCCTGTTATGCCACCGTGTTCACCCTGTTATACCACCGTGTTCATCCTGTTATGCCACCGTGTTCACCCTGTTATGCCTTCGTGTTCACCCTGTTATGCCACCGTGTTCATCCTGTTATGCCACCGTGTTCAACCTGTTATGCCACCGTGTTCATCCTGTTATGCCACCGTGTTCACCCTGTTATACCACCGTGTTCACCCTGTTATGCCACCGTGTTCACCCTGTTATACCACCGTGTTCATCCTGTTATGCCACTGTGTTCACCCTGTTATGCCACCGTGTTCACCCTGTTATGCCACCGTGTTCATCCTGTTATGCCACCGTGTTCACCCTGTTATGCCACCGTGTTCACCCTGTTATGCCACCGTGTTCACCCTGTTATGCCACCGTGTTCACCTTCTTATGCCACCGTGTTCACCTTCTTATGCCACCGTGTTCATCCTGTTATGCCACCGTGTTCACCCTGTTATGCCACCGTGTTCACCCTGTTATGCCACCGTGTTCACCCTGTTATGCCACCGTGTTCATCCTGTTATGAGTCACCACAAGAGTGTAAGTGCCCACAACTGCACTATACGATGTCGGCGATACACAGTGACATGAAGCACACTTCAATCATCACAAACTGTGCTTCTCGCTTTAAGCTTATTAAGCATATTCTGCTGTGATTAACATTCGTCTCACGATCCGAGGAAATAGTACGACCAACCTTTAGGTTTGGCTCACAAAATTCAGATGGAGTGGAGTGCAACACAGCTGGAGTGGAGTGCAACACAGCTGGAGTGGAGTGCAACACAGCTGGAGTGGAGTGCAACACAGCTGGAGTGGAGTGCAACACAGATGGAGTGGAGTGCAACACAGCTGGAGTGGAGTGCAACACAGATGGAGTTAAGTGCAATACAGATGGAGTGGAGTGCAACACAGATGGAGTGGAGTGCAACACAGCTGGAGTGGAGTGTAACACAGATGGAGTGGAGTGTAACACAGATGGAGTGGAGTGCAACACAGATGGAGTGGAGTGTAACACAGCTAGAGTGGAGTGCAGCATAGATGGAGTGGAGTGTAACACAGATGGAGTGGAGTGTAACACAGATGGAGTGAAGTGCAACATAGATGGAGTGGAGTGCAACATTGATGGAGTGCAACACAGATGTAGTTATGTACAACACAGATGGAGTGGAGTGCAGCATAGATGGAGTGGAGTACAAAACAAATGGAGTGGAGTGCAACATAGATGGAGTGGAGTGCAACACAGCTGGAGTGGAGTGCAACACAGCTGGAGTGGAGTGCAACACAGCTGGAGTGGAGTGCAACACAGATGGAGTGGAGTGCAACACAGATGGAGTGGAGTGCAACACAGATGGAGTGGAGTGCAACACAGATGGAGTGGAGTGCAACACTGATGGAGTGGAGTGCAACACAGATGGAGTGGAGTGCAACACAGATGGAGTGGAGTGCAACACAGATGGAGTGGAGTGCAACACTGATGGAGTGGAGTGCAACACAGATGGAGTGGAGTGCAACACAGATGAAGTGGAGTGCAACATAGATGGAGTGGAGTGCAACACAGATGAAGTGGAGTGCAACATAGATGGAGTGGAGTGCAACACAGATGAAGTGGAGTGCAACATAGATGGATGCAGCAGACACTGAAAATGCAGCAGACATTGTCAGAAAGTCGGCGCATTTGAAGAACTAAGACAATGGGAAATTAAAAGATCAGTAGGAACCACGAGAAAGATTCGAACCAATGCTCTGGGTAATCCCATCACGGTAATGTGATTTCCTTGAGCATTTGAAGTGAAGGGTTGGAGGTAGAACTCGTTGACTACAAGTTAGAGTGCAAGGTGGCATTGTGTGGAAGCCTGGTTAGGCTTCAGTGTAAGCCTCGGGGACCCTGGGGGGGGGGATAATCAGATGAATTCCAGGTTGCATTCCTCTTAATATGTCGTGGTGTAGTGGCTCAAGGCGTTTGCATGGGAGTACTCACTGTCACCACCAGTGTGGCAGCTGGTGGTGACACCTGCCCTCTCTGTCACCACCAGTGTCACAGCTGGTGGTGGTGACACCCGCCGGATGGACATTATTCCAACTTAATGGTACTAAAGGCAACAAAACTGTTATCCAGTAAAGAGGACAGTTTTAGTCCAATAACGTCGCTGAGTAATGCTAAGCATTACTTGAAGGGCAGGTAGGAGGCCGTGTCTGTCTTCCTCGAATTCAAGATGGCGAATATAAAGAACATGAGGAGGAAGATTAATACGCCTTAACCTGGCCAGGGGCGCATCTTAAGGTGTTTTCGGGGCTTAGCGTCCCCGCGGCCCGGTCGTCGGTGCTGTTGTTTTGATTGCCGTCCTTAGAGACGTGTGTAAACGTAATGTGAAAGTGTCACAAGAGAGTGTCTCAGTGACCAGTCTCGCTGTGTTTGATTTGTGGTTAAATTTTTTTGCTGAAATTAATTTTTTTTGAGGGCTCAAGTCATCAAGCATTTACTCGTCTTCTTTCGAAACCTGTACATCTGTTCTCAATGTATGGCGGCTTTGTTTACATATATTAGACAGTTTATAAACTCCGAAGCACCAGGAGATGTTTATATTTAATAATAATAACCTTTGATTTGGAAGTTGTTAAGGTCGTAAACTTTTTACTAAATGTGAAGTTTTTTATTATTGAACACTATTATGTGAACTCAGTCAGAAGGACTGCACAAGCCAACACATTAAGTGCCAGATATGAACATTATACTTCACAAGACTGAAATAAAATGCGAGGGCAGCAACTGGGTCCAACTGCTTGGTTCCCCTATCCACTAGGTCGTTAAGCTCCTTAATTGCTTAGGGCAATGTTAAGGGTAAATAATGAGTCCTCACACCAAATTTGTATTCAGTGATAATGGCTATGAATCAGGTTCGAATTCAGAAGCAGGCCTTCGATAAATGCAAGAAATACTGTAGTTTGTTGCAGCATAAGCGAGGGGTGAATATTGTTGAAAAGTGTTGACATAAAGACACGTCTCTTGTTAATAACAACAATTTATTACGAACAGGGATTGCCTCGTTGGCCACCAGGGGATTAGGACGTGCTCGTCTGACCTGAGAGTTGCCGCCTGGTGTTGCGTGGGGGCGGGAGCAGTTTGAGGTGCGCCCGCTAGCCGGGGATCCGGCTGGCGGTATGACTGTTGCTGGTGATACCCGTGTTCGGCGGGTTGATACTGTGAAACTGGATTTTTCTGGTGCTGTGGACTGACCCATTGTGGAGATTGCGTTGTTGGACGTGCTCCATGTTGACGTCTCTGATCTGCTGGGGCTGGAGAAGCTCTCGCCTACTCGTATGGCAGTGCCATTTGCCACGTCGCTGCTTTACCAGGAGTTTGTGGCACGCTGGGATGCACGCTCGCTTCCTATTCCTGCTTCGGCTGTGATTGTGGAGATCTCGGATCCCTGGGAGCCCTTGACATTTGTAAGTGTTCACGATGTGCCGGTGACCTTGCCTGAGACAGAGCTTATGTAGGTGTTTTTGCGGTATGGGGTGGTGGTGAAGCACAGATTCACCACTTTGAGTGCGGGCCGGCTGAAAGGGGTCCGTCTGGGCACTTGTACGCTCGTCATGCGCGTCGCTAACCCTATTCCTTCCAGGGTTTCGTATCGTGGGCTCTCTCTCTGCGGATATTTTATCAGGATCAGACAGGAACCTGTTTCCGGTGTGGCGCTGAGGGCCACGTGGCGGCCAGCTGTGACGCTCCTCGTGCTGAGGCTCCTTCGGTTTTCCAGGAGGATGACATTCCCTGCTTATCTGTGCGTGGGGTTTTCTCGGCGGATCCGCACTCTGTCCTGGTGCCTGGTGTGGTTCCTGCGGCGGTTCCGGCAGGCGTTTCATCTGGCCCTGCTCTGTCTGGCCCTGCTCTGTCTGCCCCACTGGTGAGCTCTGGGGACCTGGGGCCTCCTGCTTCAGATCTTCGTCGTTCGGTGGTTGCGGAGGTGCATCCGCAGCCGGTTGCTTCCGTGGAGGCGTTGGGTGCTGCTGTAGGGGGTGGTGCCTGCTTCTCCTGAAAACGGGCGTGTGCTTCCCTGGGCTGTCGGGGTGGTGGTGTGTGAGACTCCCCCCCCCCCCCCTCTACCTCTACCTCGTCACCTCTGGTGGTTTCCTCATTCCCACATGCTTCTTCTCCTGCGCCAGTTCTGTCGTTCCCGCTGGATACCTCACATGTGCTGTCTACCCTTCCGCCTGCTGTGTCTCTTCCTTCTCCATTTCCGGTCTCCGTGCATGGTAGTGGCTTTTTGCCCCACATTGTTGCGGCTACTGTTCTGCATGATCGTGCTGCCCCGGCCTTGGGGCCGCCTGCCACTGGTTCTTCTGGGACACCGCTGGCTGGGGTTGTCAGTTCCAACGATCAGCGGCCTCTTGTTAAGCGCGGTCGTTCGGCTTGGGCTGCGTCGCCTCGCCGGACGTGGGCTGAGGAACATGATGCTGTGGACGACGATGTGTTGCCTCTTGTGGTGCCTTCTGCGTTGAACACTGTACCTCCTGCTGGTGGCTCCCCTCAGTGGGCGGTTGCCCCTGGTGGTCGCAACCTGGTGGTGGTGTTGTCGAAGGATGTGCGACGGGGGGGCCTCTGCACCTGTTCCGGTTGGTGTGGGGCACTGAGGCGCCTGCGAAGTCACCCTCCGCGGGGCTTGGTGTGGTGCCCGGTGACGAACGAAGTGCGCACCCTGGTGGGCGGGCCGGTGTGCTTGCAAGTGTGCGGCCCTGTGACCGGCCTCCTAGGGGGAAACCCCTCCTTTTCATTCTCCCGACCGGAGAGGTGATCGACTGAACTGAACCTGCTCTGAGTTTTCAGGTTGATGACCTGGTGCGGCCTGTTCCTTGGTGCCCTTCTACCATCTGGGTTCCGCGAGCACAGCGTTTCATCCTTGGCGTGCCGGATTCGATGCCTCGGCCTGTTGCGACTACTGGTTGTACACTTATTTACGACAAACCACTAATTTGGGAGGCTTACTGCTTATGGTTTCCGGCTCAGAAGTACACGGAGAAGTATGAGTGATTCGTGTGTTTGGTTTATGTTTGTGTTGTGCGTGTTGTTTCCCCTGTGCCTGCGTGCACAGGTGGGTGTCCTTGTCTGTGCGTGTGTGGGGTGTGGGTGTTTGTTTCTGGCTCCTGCGTGGTCTGGATTTGTTTTGTGCTCTAAAGGGGCCTCGTAGCCTGGTGGATAGCGCGCAGGACTCGTAATTCTGTGGCGCGGGTTCGATTCCCGCACGAGGCAGAAACAAATGGGCAAAGTTTCTTTCACCCTATGCCCCTGTTACCTAGCAGTAAATAGGTACCTGGGTGTTAGTCAGCTGTCACGGGCTGCTTCCTGGGGGTGGAGGCCTGGTCGAGGACCGGGCCGCGGGGACACTAAAAGCCCCAAAATCATCTCAAGATAACCTCAAGATAACCTGCCTTTGTTCTGTAATGGGTGTTAGTGTTGTGGTTGTGTGCGGGTGTGGGTGTTGTTGTTCCGTGTGTTTGTCGTGTGGGTTGTATGTGTGTGTAGGTATTTTTGTCCCTGTCATTGATTTATTTTTTGTACATATTTTATGACATTTATATTCTTATGTGTAGTGTTCGGATTTAGTTTATTTTGTTTGATGGTGTCCTCGTGATTATGTTGTAATTTTTGTGTATTTTTTTTCTTGTAAGTTTCCTTGTACTAATGTCATTTATTTGTTGTGTACTATATGCATTCTCTGTCCCATGATGTGTTCTGTGTGATTTCCTGTGTTCTTTGTATGTGTTTTTATGTTTGTTTCATGGTGTTTGCTTTTTTCATATCTAAGCACAATTCTTTGTTTGTGTGTTTTGCAATTTGTTCCCTGTTTTGTACTATGTTTTTTTTTATAAATAAATAAATAACATTTATTACGAACAAAAACTTAATACTAATATAAAACACAACTATTCAATGTTTCGTTAATCGTCCTCAGAGTGACACTAATCACAGCTATTCAAACAGCTCTTAGTATACTACAGACTCCAACCCATACCGCCGTTGGCTGGTATAATAAACTAGACAGAACAAACAGGTGCTCACTTGGACTCAAGATGCAAATCAAAACAATTTAAGCAAATTTAACAACAAATCAAACACAGCAAGACTGGTCACTGAGACAGTCTCCGGTGACACTCTCAAGTTATGTTAACACACGTCTCTATGGACGGATATCAAAACAACAACAACAACAATTAGTTTAATGTTCTATCACAAAGACCAGAACAATTGATTCCCAATCAATTCAATCAAAGCAACAATTTAATTACACGAATCAATTAACACAATTAATTATGTTAATTACTGTCATCCAGTCAACAATCAAAGGTAATTTACGTTAATTACAATCTGTCACTCAGTCCAACAATCAAAAACAATTGTGGGAACCGACCTGTGAGATTTATATTTATTTAATTTGTATGAATATATATTTACGTTAATTTATATACTTCGATAGCAATTTGTATAATGATAAGGGGACTGTATTTCTGCAATAATCTCTTAATCTCACAAATCGATCCTCTACACATTAGGGGGGGGGGTTATATTAATTTAATTTATATATATGCAGCCAATCAAACTACAGTATTAGACTACATACATTGAAGAGGTTCCTTATCTTATT